AGATGATATACAGCACTGTAAGGTTTTACTGACGTTTGCTTAGGATGATCTATGTAAGTCACTCTTAGATATTCAACCTTCCCAAAGTCATGCCAGTAAAATGTTTATGCTACAACATCATCATCTATTCTCTACTGTACCTCCATGTGCAGACACACATTATATATCTTCAATTACATCAAAACTATCTATGCAATAAGTCACAGTCGAAGCTATACCTTATTTGTTCAAACATCCAAGTTAAATTTACATACTAATGGTTGCATATTTGGCTTTAATAGATGCACTATTAGAAAATAAACATAATAAATGAATAACCCTTTTAGCATGAAGTCACCTAATCTTGATGAAAAATATATGAAAATGCAGCAACCAGGGAATCTATTTAATTTTTATTTGAAAATAACGCTAATCACAGACTTAGAAGATAAATATAAATTATATGGAGTAGCATACTAATGATGGATCAGGCAGACCCACCCTGTGCAGTGAATGCAATAAGATCAAACTGGTTGAAATGGATGGTATATACTCTAGATGCTCTCTTTCTCAAGCATGGAATAAAGGATATAGTCTAGGATGGTTTAATTTGCTGAAATTTCCCCTTACACTTGACAGTGCATTTCATTTTCAGCATCTTCTAAAGCTTCAGGACAAGCTCTGTGTCTCCCAGCAACAATCAGGCTTATGCACAGGAAAGATACACAGGGATGATTTCCGTCCCTGAAAACTGAAAAGTGCACAGTAAGGTAGAAAAGTTGGATTGTCTAATGGTGAACAAGAGGGCTCACATGCACAGCAAACAGTGCAAACTGATTTATGCAGTGCTACTGCATAAATCCTTTGTCATCAGAGCAGGAGCTTAATTCCTACAGCACACTGAGCAAAGGCAAAAGGGAGCAGGCAGGCCCAGCCTTTGCTATCTTGCACAGGAGGAAGAGGAGCCTGCTTTGATTTCTTTCCAGTATAATGAACCACTTCTTTCCACACAACTACATCTTTTTGATTATTTTGATCATCCCTGCTATCCTCGACTGTTCACTCTTCAAAGCAGAAAGAGTATCCTGGATTAGGACTGCATACACCATTCTGGCTACAGCTGGGCAGGAGATGAACAGTGTCAATTCAAGTTGTTTGTCAAGACTCCTCACCCCACTTCCAAAGCCTACTATTCCCTCAGGTCTCCCAGCAGTGCTTCTCCAAGAGCTTTTTCTCTTCTGGAGCCATTACAATGATCCTGCTTAGAAAATCTATTATTTTGAGTTTTGAAGTTACCGGGTAATTATAAAGGAATTGAATTTCGAGGGACTGTGAGTCCCGGCAGGCACTAGGAAGGAGCAGCCCCTGAAGATGATGGCAGGGGGTGATAAAAAATAGGTGGTGCTAGGCTTATTGCAGAATATTACAGATAATGCAGAACTGAAGAAATCAAGAAGACAGCAACTCCTATAATCTCACAGAGGGAGTTTTGCTAGAAATCTGATCCAGTTTCCTTCTGTACCACTGCCAGAACAGCCATAATCATGCTTCTGCTTGACCTCAGTGCAGACCACAATGTTCCTCAGCAATTGAAATAAATAACTAGTTAAAACAACAGCAGCCAGAGACACTGGTAGCATCAAATGAAAGTGACTTTGTGAAGGGAGAACACACCAAGAGTCACTCAACATGATGTGCCACTTGCTTGCCTTGGCAGCAAAATGATGAAGACTCCAGGATCCAATCCTGCTGCCAGAGACCCTTCTTCTTAATCAGCACCTTTGGGCTCACCACACTACATCTGAACTGTGAGTGCCTTCCTTCTCTAAATGTCATTTCATTTTTGTACCTTTCCTTGAGACTTGTCAGCCCACAGACTTTTTTTTTTTGTAAGAATGCTGGCTCAGCATAAACCAGAAAGGGGTTACATGGAACTGTGCTCAGGGCCCTGACAAACAGAGACATAACACAGCAGGCTAGATCAGAGCTGAGCCTTTTGTTTTATTACATTGTGCCTTGCAGGCTCTTGGTCCTTCTTGCCCTGCCCATCCTCAGCTTTTCATTTCACAGCCTGAGCAGAAGCCCTACACAAACAATTGAAAGCAAGTTACCAGACCCTGATCCCCACACTGCCGTGACTTGTGTCAAATTATAGCTGAAGTGATTTGCTAATCCAAACCCAGGCAATAATCTGATCTGTGGGGAGAAGCACTCTAACACTGCTGTGCTGAGTGGCCACTGTGGTACAAGCACTGTCAGCTTTTCCCAGCAGCTTTTTGACCTACTGAAGCCTGCACGCATGTACTGAGCAACTGAAGACAAAGGGAAAAATCTAACACATTCAGGCTGTTAAAAGGCATAAGAAATATACTCTAAGTCCCAAGAAAATGCTCCAATTAAATGCAGTTTTTGAGCAAGAGTATATTTAGCCCAGCTAAAGGTTTCTGCTATGCCGTGTGGACTTCATGTAGTTGAAGAACATTTTAAAGAAGAGAAAGAAAAATATTTATGTTGGTGGACCATATTCAGATTATAAGAAAGGATTTGGAGGAGTATCCAAAGATTGAGAGGTCTTTCTCAGTTAATCACATAAAGGATGGACATTTGCCTGGACCTTCTGAGCCACAGGATTCAATTTCTGTCATGAAAGGCTCTCAAAACATTTGGTCTGTCTTTGTTCAGTTCAGTCAGGCTGAACAGTACTGCATGGCCTTGCATACAGAAAATCTGCCACTTTTAAAATATCCATTGAGATTTCTTACAACATCCACACTGGAAGACAGGCTAAAAGTTTTCTTTCAAATATCATATGAATAAACCATGTGATTCATTAATTATGACTCTTTAGCAAGCAGACAGGAACAAAAGGTCTGCTAACTTGGTTTTACAGCATACCTGAAAAATAACACAGAACAGAAGAAAAAAATGGAGATTTTATGGTAGCAACGAAGATATTTCATAGTATTTTCATTTGAAGGGTCATTAACCCTTTAGAAAGCAATGCCAATATGTACTAGAAATATGTACAGCACAGAGCTTGAAAAAGCTCAATGTAAAATATGAGATAAAAGCTGGATATAGACTTGCTTTCAAACAAAAACCCAAGCTTGCCTCCATTCTCTTATCTTCAGATACAGAATTGAAAAATGTAAATTAGGAGTTGGGGAGAACTACCAAAACTGAAGGTGAAACATCCAAGTCAAGTAGGTGCATGTATGTATTAAAACAGAAAGGAGGAAAAATGAAAAAAAAAGAAAAAAAATAAAAATAAAAGAGAAATAATAATTTAAAAGTCCCTAAGCAGCACCTTATATCAGAGAAAAATATCTGTTTCTAAAACATTGGCCATACTCTTTCTTTAGAAGAGAAAAAGAACCAAAACTAAGGCTATCAAACAGCACCAATTAAAAAAGAAGTCACATTCAGCTTCCTAGAAACCATGTACTTTCCTCTGAGGTTATCCACAGTAACCTGTGCCTTTGCCATCTTCAGATTGCTTCACTACACATGACTTACCTAAAACTGAACACAAAAACCACATGCAGCTGAGAGAAGTCAGACACCCAGCCCTCTCTTTGACTCAGCCTCAACATCAGTCCATAGCATTCCAACAATCTGGGCCTTTCCCCAAAAGCTAATCTACTGCTAATATCAGCTGGAAGCTTGGATCCACAGTTTTAAAGCAACCCAGAAATCTCATCTTAGCTCCATCAGATTGCAATCTATAAACAAAGCCACAAGCTCAGCAGCAAAGCCAATCAGAAAGACAGGGACTGAAAATGAGACTTGAGCATTTTTTACTGAAAAGAGCAACAAAGATTCTGTAGGAGATCAAGGAAACCTACAAGCCGACAAACCTTCACGAACAGTGGCAAAATCATGTCTTTCTGTAAGATAACTAACTACAGGCTGAATGCACTAATGCCAGTTATCACCGAACAAACAAATTAAAAAACCCCAATCAACCAAAAAAATTCCCCAAACCGAAACAAAAAAAGCCAAAACTATCCCCCAAACTTATCTCAAACAGTATTTTGATGCTACCAAACAAGATATGCAAGAATTGACATGAATTAAAAACAAATGGATGGATGCTGCTACTGGTGTGGAGATTACTCAAATGTCATCTATTACTGGTGATTTTCCCTTTAATAATTACATTCTTAAAAAAAATTAATCAAGCTGTACACAAAGAAACCAAACTAAATGGCAAAAGGCAGATGCAAAAAGTATTTTACTGCTTTAGCGTTTCAGACTTCATCAAGCATCTATGTCAGCTCAACTCCCCCAAAGACCAGCTGACACCACCTGACTTGAACCTCCCTGTGCTCCTGCTGAAGAGTATTATGGAAGCAGCATTTCCACTCAATCCAGTCATGCCTGATTGCTTTATGAGTACAAAAAGCAAGACAAGGTTGCTAACTACAAAAATCACCACAGCAGAGGAGTTACAAAACAAATATAAGCTGAGCCTGCACTCTCCCCTCTAATGCCAGGAGAAAAGAGTTGACAGTGAAGATGGCAAGGCACATCCACAAAGAATTTGCCAAAGGTTAACACTGCAACTCACATTGACATCAATGATCGTAAAGTGAAAACAATGGGAAAAATTGAGAATGTGTTGTGATCCTTGAACGCTTTGCATCAGACACATCTTTATAATGAAACGGAATCATGGACACAACTCAAGGACATAACCAAATCATAACATAACCAAACCACAGGCCTAAGTCAATCCCTATTCTGGATATTCATATATTTAGAAGTTAAATATATGCCTAAGCATTATTCAAAACAGGGATGTCGACTGGGTATCAGCAGGAACTTAAACATTCTCTGGTTGAAAAAAAATGTTATTATCAAAAGCGGGATTTTACTGCAGTACATCAGAGAATCACGATAGCTGTAGAGCTGTTGCATTAAAACCTAATCTTTTAATGACTCAGAATTTTAATTATGTGATATTCATTAGGAATGCACATACATCACAGTAAATTATTATCATGTATATGTAATTTTACCTGGAACTTTACTTTTTGCCAAATGTGAGGCCCAATAAATTGTTTCAAGAAGCGTTCATCTTCACTCCAGAACAGTCGGATGTCAGGGATATTGTACAGGATCATGGCCAGCCTCTCCAAACCCAAGCCAAATGCCCAGCCAATTTTATCCTGAGCACCAGCTGCAACACACAAGATAAAAATTCAAGAGCTTAAGTTCACAACATGGAAAATTACTGATAAAATGTTCACCCATTTATTAAGAGGGAATAAAGAAAAAGGTGAGATGGAAAACCAGAAAATCTTACAAGTAAGTGCCAAATGAATGATCTAAAGGCTACAGGACAGATCCTACTTAAATCAAAAAGTGCAGCAAGACTGAGCACATCACTCAGTCCAGGAACCAAAAGTGACAATAAAACAAAGCCACAGCCTTGACAATCTGTGTCCAAAGTTTCAGACAGGCTTGAGAAATGCAGCATAATGCTATACATCACTACCATTCACTATGCTTAGAGCTGAGCATTTCCTCACTTGACTCCGCTGTTTCATAAGACTCACAAACATGAATTCCCTGTTCAGAGTATTTTCCTTGGTCTGACAGACCAAGTCAAGCCTACAGAGCATTAACATCATCACCAACATTTCAAATACCATAATTGCCTCTTTTGAGGCTTCTGGAAGAAACAGAGCAATGGGATGTGAGGCACTGTTGCATTAGCATCACACCTCCAACCAGGGAAATCCTGAGCTGCTGTTCCTGGGAAATGCCACTGCTCTCACATTAACAAGTCTCTTTTATGCAGCACTAAATATAAAAGGACAAGAATATTTAATAACGAAAAGCTGTACAGATATTAATGATGCAACATTTCTGTCAGGAAAGAAAATATTCATATCTTCCTTCATTTATAGAGCAGGAGCACTGATTCATGCAAATAGGGATCTTTTCAACACAAAAAACTAAGTCTGTGTTTAGCCATCAGCCTACTGATTTTGAAATCAGCTGAGAGCCCAGAAGCCCTCACAAAGGCTCAGAGCTTTTAAAAACTTAAACAAATGCCTAAACAAACACACCAGCTGAATGGATGTGTGCATGTGTGACAGACTTGACTTCACACCATCAGCACTTGCAGTGTGCTCCTGAGTCACACAACATCACTGCACATCTCACAGCTATGCACCAGGGCCACAGCAACCCCTCCAGTATCAATCTGAACTAATTTTTTGGAAACTTTGAATTCAGCAGCTTTCCCATCTTCCTGCAGGAAGGTGGAAGCACAAGTCTTGTTTCTGACCCTTGTCTGCTATCAGAAAGGAAACAGCTCCCATTGTTTAGGCACTGATGACAGACATGCTGAGTTATCCTGTTGTGTTCAATGCTGAGACTAAACAGGCCTGAGTTCTGTTCAAATAGAGGGAGGCATAACAAGGTTGGGAAAAGAGACACACTCACAACTTCATTCCATTAATTCACCTAAACTTGCCTATTTTTCTGGAATAACAGGTCCTCGGCAGAGGCTGTGTCTCATCTGCTGCATCAGCAGTATTGTGCTGCCACATGAGTTACATAAACTTCTAAGAGCACGTCATAGAGGAGTCAGGATATTCTGCCTGACCCTCCTCATGTGCTCAAAGGTAAGATTTTGCACTTTCTGACATTTGAAAGCAGACAGTTCATCAACTGAACTCTGGAAGTCCTAAAAAATAGAGGACTGGGTGTGAACTCATGGCAGAGATGCTGAAAACAGTGCTTAGACCAACCAGCAGACTATGAGCAGCTCTGACTCTGGAAGCCTGCAATCCATGCTACATTACATGAAGAACTGCACAACTTGCTTCTGCTGACTTTGAGAGAAAACAGAGTGACTACAAAGAACGTATTGAAATTTGTATTTGGGAGCAATTCTGAACTTTGACTTTAAGCCTAGACCATAAACTGCTCCTCTTCCATGCTAAAAGTACTACTCTCCATACATCAGTATATTAAAGTAATTACATTTGTATGGCTGTGAAAAAAGGAATATAATTAATTTCAATGGTGCTGCTTCTTCAAACTTTCAGCTTGCCTTTCCTAGATCAGCAACTCCTGCCTCAGTGACAGAGCTCCTATTCATTCCAGAAGTACCAGATTTTCACATACATATGGGCATTTGTGTAGATCAACCCCTTCCTCCAGATGTAAAGTAAAGCACCAGGAGCAATACCCATGAGGGTTCTGAATGGTCACTGCTTACTCTCAACAGAGGCATTGAACTTGAAACCTAAAGATGCCAGATTAAGCACCAGCATTATTCATTCACAGATGCTCAATAAAGTATACATGATGGGGGTGATGATCCTCCTTCCTCATACTAGTGATGATTCCTGATAGATCAGACAGGAAAAAAAAATATGACAGAAGAGAAGAACAGGTGTATATTCTGATTAGCAAAGCTTTACATTTATAACTTAAACTTTTTTATTATTTTGATATGAGAATGGTTTTCACTGTAATACTTTTCCTCAGTGACTTGCTATCAACTTGAACTCTCCAATGAATGTCTTGATTTTGTATCAGCAACTTCTTTTCTATTCTGGTTTTCTTGCTTGGTTTGTTGGTTTTTTTTTTTTTAGAAGGACTGGGACACTTCACAGGTTTTTATTCATAGCAGACAAAGAAATTCTGCTATCTGCCTAGCAGCTCAGAGCATTGTCATCTGAGCTACAATTAAACAGCTATTCACCAAACTGAACTTGTCTTTTGGATGATCCTTGTACAATTATCAGCCTTCAAACCACAAGCTTCTCAAATGTCTCCAGTGAAAGCTGTATCAGTGAAGAATTACCTCTTCTCAGACAAAATAAATGAAAGAAAAAGGAAAATTCAGATTATTAAAATTCCTCTTCAAATCAGCACTAGCAAACCTCTGCACTGTGAATCTTCAGTTATTTTGTTTCTGATCCCTTCTCCAACTTTCTATTTGTAAAGCTCCGAGTCAATGAAGCATTCACTTAAGTCATTTGAACAACCTCCTTGGGGGACTCAACAAGATTAATGCATACTTCCAAACATATTTCTGACTAGAAATTATCAGGTGACTTAGAAATTAAATGAGCCAGTAATCATCCTGTTGAGTGAGGGAGCAACCCATAGCTTTCCCAACACAAATACATGTTTAAATGCACCAAATTTTGGCAAGTATTATGCAAAGAAGACAAGTGAATGTGAATCAACAAGACAGGAAGAGTGAACACAGAACAGCATTAAATATGGAAGAATGAAAATTGAGGTTCTGATGAGGGGACCTGGCCAAAGCAGCAGATTCCAGGGACCTGGTGGGGCAATCATAGCATCACTGCTTGAAATAACACAGCCCAACAGATAAAGATTTCCTGACACATGAGCTTTCCCAAACTGGCCATCAAAGATTTTTATACTGCCAGGCTCCTGCTGTCTCACATGAAAAATTTGACTCCTCACCAGAAGAAAATTGCTGGAAGCTTTGCTTGTCAGGTAGCCAAAAGATGGAGGAGGAAAGGATAAAATAGTTTGACTGGCTTCCCACACTGGGAGCTAGGATGGCCCAAACCTGATGTCAGAAGGTTGCAGCATTGCAGCTCTGTCTAACAGAGAAGCTCAAGAATCCTTATCTTCCTTGATAAGTCATATCTATTTATCCTGGACTTCAGCTTCAAGCCCAGGTGAATCAGTTTACACATAATGTAGACCAAGAAAGTCATTCTCCAAAAAGCAATGTTAAATGAAAATTAAATTTGCTCAGTCAGGATTGGAATCTTCCCAATTATTCACTAAGGCATAAATAATGACCTGCCAGAATTAATGGATTATATTGCCCTGAATCCTCAGAAAAAAACACAGACAGAAACACCCACCCTCTCAAGGAGTGTGAGGCAAGATATTCTGCTCTGTGCAACAATTCTAAAACATAATTTTCAACATAGTAACAGGTAACAAAACCTTAGTAACAGGTTGACAAAACCTTTTTGGTTTACATTCCAGTCATACTTATTTTTGTATTGATACCAGCTTTTATTTAAGAATTTTTGCTACTTCTGTAAAACTGCCAATAAAGAAATCTTCTTTCAATAGACCCTAAACTGGGCCTTCAAATTGTCATACTCAGCAGTTACTGAAAAGTGAAAGAAATTAAATTTTGATCTTGGACTGAGGCAAAATCATGAATACACAACAGCCTGCATAGAAGGTGTTCTTCACAAAATGCACAAAAATTAATACACCCAAAGTATGAGTAGCTGAAATCTGGGATGAGTTCCAGAAGCAAAGACCTGAATTTGATCTCCTCCTTTCAGTCCAAACTATGACTCTTAATAGAGCCAGTTCTAGAACTGAAATGGTAGGAAGAGGGGTAAACAGATTCTCAAGGGCACATGGATTACACATCATGTTTTACAAAATAAATCAGCTTTAAACTGTACAGAAAGTAAGTTATAGACATAATGAACATGCAACTTGACACAAAATACCACAAATTCTGGAAACAAATGCCAAGACCCAGATTTGAGTTCTGTGTGATTAATGGACAGCTTACGAATCAGGCTTTGAAAAACAGGTTCTGCAAAATAAATATTGACTTATTTCTAGAGACTAGGAATGCATAGTCTATATAACTGCCAGAGTAATGAGGCAAACGTGTTTACTTGTGTTAAAAATATTATAAATTATTTCCTTATTATTTCCATAAGTTATTTCAGCTAAAACTCCCATATGTAGGGAGTAAAAAGCTTTACATGGAAAAAAAGTAATATTAAGGCATCAGTCTAATAGAGAAGAGCTTCTGAAACTGCAAGGTCATGTGGCTGTAATCTTAAGCAAGTGAGGCCAAAAAGCTTACCCAAGTTTTCTCTGAACTTCTCTCCAGTGAAAGCAAAAATCAAAACCATCACAGTGTTCTCTGGTAATTCAGTTAAACTGATGCATTCAGGCTCCTGTGTGCAACTCAGCTTAAATTACACCCTAAAATGAGGACTTGGCATTCAGACTATGCATGCTAAAAAAGCCACTCTTCAAAAACTCAAGAAAAGAAGTAAACATTCAATTATGCCCATTCTATGTAAAGAGAACTTATCTTTCTGAATCTCATCTGTGGAATAATTTTCTAACAATAATAGTCACTTTGAGACCACAACTATGTCTCCTGGGTCAGACTGCTCTGTTCTG